TTTTTTTTTTTTTTTTTTTTTTTTTTTTTTTTTTTTTTTTTTTTTTTTTTGTGATGGATAACTTTTACGGTTCTCTCTGTGTCTCTCCAAAGAGATTTGTGAAACTTGAGCAAATCTTGATTTGCTGTGAAATATTTTATGAATAAAGAAATGTAACGTGAGCTCTAACCTACCAAGTGTTTGCTTCTTGTCATTGGCCTTTTGCAGGAAAACATGAAAGCTCCAGTATATTCCACGGGCGGCTCTTGATCTCTAGGTTACTCGTACAAATCTTTTTTGGATGCATACCAGCCACTTTTGGTGGCAATTTTGATCTCTCTCTCTCAAATTCTTCTTTTCCTTCTTTTTGAAATCAAATGGCCGTATGATTAGTTTGGCTTGAAGTGTAATATAAGACTCGTAAATATTGCCTATCAAAAGTTCCATTATTCATCAGGTTATCTCAACTGCTGTTCCGTTTCGAGTGTTTAGTATCTAGGCAACAAATTGTCGCTTTCATACATTGTTCCAGCGGTTACCAAAACCCAGTACCATGCGTCTTTACGGGAAATATATCCTGAAGCCTTGTTAAGGAAAAACACCGCAATCCAAATGAATGACTGTTTAGCTAACATGTACCTTTTCAGGGATAGCTTATATTATTCAAGCATCCAAGGAGAGTAATGCAATTTTGGCTGATGTCTCCTTTCCTTCGAACAGATGCAAACTTCCAAGTAATTGTTGTTATAACATGGTCCAGATACTATACTTAATCCCCCCTTGTTTCCAATTTAATTTGTGTTGATTTGGAATAGTTGATGAATATGATTTAAGTTCTATCAAGGCCATTTATATAAACAAATTGAGAAAATCATATGAATCAGTCTTTTGAGCTTAAATTTGCAACTCTTATGTTAGAACATGGGAAAAGCTTGGAGGGTCTGTTGTGGTGTTGATCCATATTTATTCCACATAAATGTGGCTTTTGGGAGAAGAAGCATCATTATTCTATGATCCAGGAGAAAGGGATGCACTTGAGTCAACTAGATTGCTTATATTCCAACTTGTGTTAATAGTAATGGTCCAGTTCATTGTTTTCCAACTTTTTGTTTATCAATAGTAAAAATGAAACGTTGTTGAAGCAGCAGAATTTCAGATGGTTAAATTAGAGTATTGTTGTTGATTAATAGAACATAATCTCTAATGATTCGTCATAATTGTGGACAGGCCCCTTCTATGGTTGAATCCTCCAAGTGGCTTGTTTGAAGTGCTGGATAGTTGATGGAATAACGCACTGGGCTCTGTTTTACAGTGTACAAAGATGCAATGTTCGAGGTACATAGTACATTTTACAGTTGAATTGACTTCAATGATATATTTACACAAAATTAGTGTTTGCTTTGATCACAATTCATTAATTTCATTGCCCTGTCTTCTTTCGTTCTCATTTCAAGTTTTGCTCTATGATGTTCAAAGTAGGTCTAACATGATTTCCTACTTCTATTGACAACTATTTAGCAAAGTACTTGAGTAAATGCATCTTTTATCTGTTGATCTATTTGGTGTATGTGTGTATGATATGTTTTAGGGAAGAAAACACTTTGGTTTGGAGGAGGTTTGAGCAATTTGTGGCTCAATAATTTCTTTTGAGAACTACTGGCCAAGTTAAAAAAATATCTTTGGAAAAGTGTGACTGATTTATAGACTTATAATCTGTTCTCTTTCTCTTGCTTGAATAATCAATTAGTTCTGTTCTGCATATTACTAAAGAAAACTTCTGTTATTCTCAAAGTCATACTGAATAACTCACTGAAGAATCTCAAAACTCAGGCAAAATCAAGCACAATCAAGTTAAAGAAAACATCTTAATGGCCATTAGGCTAAACAAGCTGTGCAAACAAAGAAACAACCAGTAAATTGCACAATTATTGCTCATTCTGGTACCATCTCATCCCAATATGCATGATTTATAGAAGCACAAGTTCTGAGAAAATCCCAGCCCTACACTATACCATCAGAATAACCGAAATGGAGTCTGAATATATAAACTTTTCTACATAATATAAAGATTAATTGCTTACATATCTTCAACTAAAAAAAGACTGCCTCACTGAACTAAGAATACAATCGGCAACTCAACAATCAAACTAATCACGATTGAAGGATGCAATACAAGGAGAATTGACAAGGGAGAGAGAACTCAAAATTACCCATACTTCCTTAGCCAATCTTCTCTGTGTTCGTGTCATCTGAAGGCCATATAACAGTCTGCATAAGTCGTTCACGCATTAATTCTACGTTTTCGTCCGAGATCTCTTGGTATATTTCAGCATGGTTACATTTCTACACCACAGAAGAAATAAATGTTTGCAAACTTTGTTGCATGATCTTCCCAAAAAAAAAAGAAAAAAAAAAAGATTCTGTATTGAAGGAACATTACAATGATAGCAATACCTTCACCCATTTTCCATATAGGTGGAGACGTGTGATCATTACTCTTTCAGCAAGATCTTGTTTTTCCTATCAATTAGAAAAATGATGATCCAGGTTTAGTAAAACGCTATTTCACAAGGTGTGCCTCGAGACCGTAAATGACCTTAAATCTTTGTGTCCTAACATCAAACTGGAATGTTTGGATTCAGAAGTAAAAGGAATCATTTTAGCTAACTTTGTGTCAAGCAAAAGGACCACACTTGGACACAAGCCTTTGTGTAACTTGGCAAGTTATGGAGCATTGAATACACTTAGAACAACCATTTTTCGAGTGTATAACTCAAGAATGTGTAGATATGTGGTGCATTTCATATTACTTCGTAGCAGGTTTGATCAAAAGATACAGACTATAATGAAACTTATAAAAGTAAACTAAACTAGAAGTTAAAGCATGGAAACTAAATACACAATTTAACCATACTTTGTAACATCTGTGTGCTTATATTAGGCCTTCCCTTTCTACTGAGATAGCAAAATGCTAAAAACTAAAGCCGGTGTTAAACATGAGATTGTTAGAACAAGTCAGTCATAGTAAGAATTCAATGGAACGTTCGGGAGTGATTTTGAAATGGTTAAAATCTTCCGTATCATATTCAAAATCACTAAAAAACATGGATTTAATCCTTCAAAATCATTCCAAAATATACTCTAAAACCAATAGTGAAAAACATGTACCAAGCATAGATTGGTACAAGTCATGAAGTAGGTATGAACTTTTAAGAAGTACCTTTACAAGAGTGCGCATGAAATGTTTTCCATCTGATGGCTTGTTAGATAACAGAAAACTGTTGGAGAAGAATAGAACAGGATCAAAATTCAAGAACACGACCAAACTAGCATGAACAATTTGACAGCTTCAACTTGAGCTACCATGACAAAAAATACTGCAACTATTTCTAAACTGACTCCAGTTCCTGTAACACAGAAAAATGGCCAGTCTCAATGTGTAAAAATCGATGGCACTTACTCATAAAGCCACCTGTACTGTGGGGGATTCATTTCATAGAGCTGGTTCATAACAGTCCTCACAGCCTTGTATGTAAAATAATTAAGTATTTGCTGCAGCCAGAGAAATCTCAGTCAGTTTAGTAATTAATTTGTAGGCAAATGAGTATGCAAAGGATGGGAGAAGGATAAAGCTCAAGAAACTGGAAAAACAACAAAATCATATTAAACTTGACCAGAACAAAATCAATGGAAAACTCAAGTCTCAAGCATATCCCATGTTATTTAAAAGAACATTGCCATGCATCAACCTGATGGCCGTTGTATTTCATGTGTATCTTACTGAGTTACGAGTGTGGTTATGGCAGCTGCCTATGATACTAGGACCAATAGGTCAAAAATGAGTTTGTGTTGCAGGTGTTGAACGATCTACTCTACACAAGTGAAGACGTTTGGTTCTCCATGGGAGCCTTCCCCCCTCTCTGCACATGGTTCACGAACCCACTTTCTGACTAAGCCTCCTAATCATAGACGCAGCAAAAAAAGAAAAAAAAGGGTCAAAGGTTTCTCACCTGACCCCATCCAACGACTTTAGCGTCAAAATCTCGCAGTTGAGCTGTCTGCGGTCGATGGTGCATCCGGTAAGCTCTTTCGGGCCCTCTTTTCAGTAGATGAAAATGGAATTGAAAGAACCCCATGCCAACATTTCATTCAATGGAAAGGTGTTTTTCACTCCTACGTGATATTGGAAACCGCCAGAATGATGCGGTTCTCGACTTATCAAAATCAAAGTTTGACTAATGTGACTTGCTATTCCATACCTTGGGAGGACTATGGGAGTACTATATTGATTATTCAGCAGTCAAAATTGTAATCCGTGTATTGGAAGTTATTCTAGTAATAGGATAATCCCATTACGTGCAATCAGTCCATAGCAACCAACTGATCGATCTAATTCAGCGGGTAAGTTACTTTCTAGCTAGCTTAATTTTTCAAAAGCACTAGCAAGCAAGAGAACAGATGTGCTAATGCTATTACTCTAAGCTATCGTACCAGTTTAAGCAAGAGAACACTCTACAAGTCTATTGTTCTTACCAGTTTAACATCGTCAAAGGTATCTTCATATTGCCCCCCAAGTTCATCAACAACTATAAGTCTTCTGTTCTTGTGCTGCTTCCTTGAGCTCCTGCTTATCCTATCCGCCGAGAGCAGCCACTCCCGGCCACTATCTACGAACGAGCTGCTTAGATACAAGTGCTTTGGTTTCGGCAAACGCTTTCGACCCATTGAACTGCTCGTTGTGGGCAAAGCATCTAAACACAAACATGGGGAAGTATGAGAGTCCACCGCTGATGAACCCACGATGGATAAAGCTCCCACCATCGTTTTAGAAAGCTAAAACCAGAGAGAAAATACACCAATCGAAGTCGACCCCCCTCGTTGTGAGTCGACTTGAAATGGGTATCTGAGGAACCTGCAGATTAGAGGGAGGGTGAAGGGGAGGATGTGAGGGAAATGAGGAAAGTTGAGAGCTATGGGAGATTTGAAGTTGGATGAATCTTAACCAGACAATTGGTGAGGCCCAAAATTCTCCACCAAGAAAAAGGGCTTGAATGTTAGATATTTTCGTTTTGATGCTCGAATTCATCTGGACGGTTTTTTGAATTTGGTGGGTTTTCTAAGTTGATCTACTTTGGAAAATTACAATATGATGAATTGTTGTCATGCTTACTACTTGTTTCATGTTCTTCAGCTTTAGGTAATCCAAATTGAATATAAGCATCTTGTAACGTTGTTGTACACTCTTCTCTAGATATGTGGAATGGGTGGATTTTACGTCCTCAATGCTCTACTGAAGTAGTAATAAGAAGCTCGTTTAGTTGAATAAACTCAATTTGTGGGACACCAAAATTGACATGCTTTAAATAAGGTATGATTCGTGTATCTAGATTAGTATTATGATTTATTACTGTCTCATTTCTTCGACATTGTAAAAGGATAGTTGATTAAGCTAGATTTGTTGTCATCTATAATGATATCGTGAGATCCCACGTTCGTTGGAGAGGAGAACAAAGTATTCTTCATAAGGATGTGGAAACCTCTTATTAGCAGTTTTAAAAACTTTGGGGAAGTCGGGAAAGCCCAAAAGGACAATGTCTGCTAGTAATGGACTTGAGCTGTTACAAAAGGACAATGACGACTAGTGATGGACTTTGGTTGGGGTTGTTACGAAAGGACAATGACTGCTAGTGGTGGACTTGGACTAGGGCTCTTACAAAAGAACAATGTTTCTAGTGGTGGACTTGGGCTGTTACAAATGGTATCAAAGTCAGGCACCAGGCAGTGGATTGTGAGATCTCATATTAGTTGAGGAGGAGAACGAAACATTCTTTATAAGGTTTTTCAAACTCTCTCTAGTAAACGCATTTTAAATCGTGAGGCTGATGACGATATGTAACGGGCCAAAACAAACAATATCTGTTAGCGATAAACTTGAGTTATTACATTCAATTTTGTATTTGATAGGTTCGTGACCGGTTTTGAATATTTAATAAATAATCGATATATCTCATATCAAAATACTCAAGATTTATTGATTCAATTCTTTCACATGCCTTACAAACTTGCGCCTTTGGTGTTGGACTCCTACTCGATACACCAAATCATTCTGTTACTTCAATTTGTACTTTTTGTTGAAGTTACTGAAGATACTAACGATGATATGCTCTTGGTTCGCTCCAACCAGTTTCATAATTATTCACAATAAACCAATCAGAAATTAAACCGATAGTATTCAAACATAAAAGTAACAACCGTAATTTGAGAAATGTATATGAAGGTACGTATCTTCTTCTTTATTTGGGGTATTCAAGTTCCCTCCAAATTTAAAATATTGATAAAAGATTTCTTAACGAAAGTATATAATTTAAATTAGGTAAGTAAAAGAAAAAAAAAATCTTTTTTTTTTTTAC